TGTATTATAGTACAAGTACTTTCTGTACAGATACAAATGAAAACTGATATTTTTTTATAGAAATTTTTCTTGTGTTACATTTTTTTACATTAAATACATTTTACATAATTTTTTTTCTGCTCTTCATTGCAGAAAATTTCCGAAACGCGTTGCCCCTAGTGAATAGGGGCCCCCAAGCAACTGCTTGTTTTACTAGTAGGTAAATCCGGCCCTGGTAAAGACACTAATGTATCATGGATCATTAATGTATTAAGGATCGTATCATGGATCGTATTCTTAAGCAGTTTTTACGTCATACTTGATACGAAGAGAAAGTATTAAAAAAGTTGCCTCGAAACCAGCGATTTTTTGACAGAAAAACTCTTACTGCCAGGCCCTTGTAATGGTATTTTGTTCATTTATGTAGTAACACGTTGTATATTTTGAGTACAAGTTTTGTGGGTCCCGAAAAATCGATTGATGGCTAAACGCCTCTGTTTGTCTCCGTCAATCGTCAGTCCTTCCGCCTGTCTGTGTGTGGTCAACGCGAGCAACTAAAGCCTAGAGAAGATTTTCTCTAAAATTGATATTCACCGGTCGATTTATAGGAACTTAAGGGTCTGAGACTTGGAAACGAATATTTTGATTTAGGGGACATTTTTCCTGAAGCCTCAACCACTTATCAATTTTTTTCAAAAACTGACTACACATTTTTTTATTAAACTTTGTCTTCATATAACGTAAAGTACGCTGAAGGAAAATGGTGCACATGTCAATTTCAATAAAATACCTATAGTTTTCGAAAATTAGAAAACTTCAAAATCTTTTTTGTCTGCCTACAACGATATTTAATAAAGAGATGCTTCTAAAAATAAAATCTGTTCTTGGAAATTAGTTTTGATCAGATCTTAAAATACGTTCTTTGGAAAATATGGGTAGTTTTTGCATGAAATGTAGACCAACTTTAAATAAATATTTTCGTAAAAAAGGAATCAAATTTTCTTTAAATTTTCGCTAGGCAGGAAATAATATTTAAAATCTGACGTCGGTCCGGTTTTTAACGAACTCTGTATTTTTGAAACTTGCAAAACGTTAATATTGCAAAACTGCATTATTGCAGATAGAGATTTTTTCTAAATGAAATTTGTTCTTATAATCAAATAATAACATGCGCTATTGTTTAAAAAATGAGTAGTTTTCACAAAATTTCTACTTAAAGTTATTGCAATTTATATTTCTTTCTAAAAAGCGTCTCCAGTTTGTTTCTTTTTCGAAGCTAAAACACTAAGAAAACTATGCAACGCACCATGGTACGTGACAAACAAGACGATATACAGAGACCTCGACATCGTCCCGCTGGAGAAAGTAATCGCCACGAAGAGCCTAGCATACCAGAGAAGATTGTACAACCACCCAAATCATCTCTCAACAAGTCTTCTAGATAACAGTGAGCATATCTATAGACTGAGGAGAGAGAGAGAGAGTATTTTAGATTTGCCATACCGATTTTTTAAATGAATTTTTTCAATGTCATAAAAAGTTCACGTCGGAAATGTATCTGTTGACACCATTTGCTTATTGTTTCGATAGGAACAGATTGTAAATTATGTTACTTTAGTTTTATAGTCATTGTTTTTTGTTACTTTAGTTTTATAGTCATTGTTTTTTGTTACTTTAGTTTTATAGTCATTGTTTCTCAAGGGTTGATGAGTTTGAGAAATAGATAATGTTTAATTTACGCTTTACTAAGCGTGCTTATTTCAGGAAAACCCAGCACTATAATCATGTGATAATTGGGAGCAAACAGTGGGTATTTTATGCTGTGATTTTCAAGAACTTGCTGTTTATTCATCTGCTGTTTAAGCAGGCGTGGATTAAAGGAAGAAGAATGTTGCCTTGTTTCGATTGAGAAGCAAAATGAAAGTAATATCAACCTAAATCCAGGGACGACAGCACAACTGACCCATTAAATCGTCGAATATTCGGCCTTGAGGCGAAGCTGCTCACGGACCGTGAACGCCGGCAAATCATCGCGGTACTGTACAAGGCGTGGGCCGCATTCGATTGATCGATGTCTCGCGGTCGATTCCAGAACGATGAAGTGGAGTTGAATTATTAGTGCGGGCGGTCCGTCGCTTCGCAGCCTTGCCGCGACTCCACCGCACTCGCGCCGCTATCGCGGGGGGGGGGGATGAAGAAGCCGGCGTGGAAAAGGGGCCACGCCCCCTCTGCATCTTTCAGCGCCGCCTCCCGCGCTGCCCCCTCACCCCAGCCCTTCGCCCTTTGTCCCTCGCTATTCGCATCCAGGGATCGAAGTAGAAACGTCTGAAGAGGAAGGGGATACACTCATGATATCCCAGCATTTGGAAACTGGTAAAGACAAACTCTGGAAGTGTTAACTTTTAGAACTTCTGGAAATAGCAAAAAAACTAACAAATTTGTATTGCTAATAATTTTAGTTAACGAAGCAAAACTTCTGTAGTTTAACATCGTTGGTTACATCTCACATAAACAAAGTTCTAAAATTATTTTAATTTTGAAATACATGGTAATTGAAACATTGGTATTTTGTGAGCGGTGTAAGTACCGTGTTTTAGTTTCAAGGAAACCATAATAAGCACAATTTAAACTAATTTATTTTTGAACATCGAACAGTCCTTCAATTAGTACATTAGGCAGACCCAGCATATTCAGCGTTCTCACTGCTATTAGCGATATATCTGCTGCACCCAGTGAATTACAACGCAATATTTGAGGAGCCTTCAAACTTTCTCAGTTATTATCTATATACCATTAGCTTCTTTCATAAAATGTGAAAATATTTACTTTTCATATTCTGTGTTTCACATTTCTAGCCTTTGTATCACGCATAATATTGGCCATAAACCGTTTTATATTCATTACATACAAAGGAATGCGTATTGAAATTTCATGACTATATTGTTTCTACAGGTCTCTCACAATAAATGTTACAAGAGGTAGGGTTCGTAGAGGGGTCGAAAACGATCACATTTTGCCAATGAACATGTACAATAAAATCTCGTATAATGAAATTACTCATGTGATATTTTCCCCTGCTGCTTAGGAAAGTCCTTATATCCAGGATTTTTCTTTAAATTTTCGCTAGGCAGGAAATAACATTAAAAAACTGACGTCGGTCCCGTTTTCGACGAACTCTGTATTTTTGAAACTTGCAAAACGTTAATATTGCAAAACTGCAATATTGCAGATAGAGATTTTTTCTAAATGAAATATGTTTTAAAAATCAAATAATATCATGTACTATTGTTTAAAAAATGAGTAGTTTTCACGAAATTTCTAATTGAAGTTATTGCAATTTATATTTTTTTCTAAAAAGCGGCTTCAGTTTGTTTCTTTAAATGTATTCCAAGGATAGATAAAATAATGGTGTGGGTATAATTTTTTGAAGTGGGAATTATTGAAAATAGTAAAAGTTAGAATTAATGTGAAAAAGTACATGATGGTATGGTTCCACTAGTTTTCGTGAGAAATATGATTAAATTTGCTACTTCAGTTTTAAAGGGAGGTCACTTTCTGTCTCAGTCAAAGAGATTTCATGTTTCATCCAAGCATCTTCGCACATGATATTGACTACCAATTAGGAGCAAATGTACCACTACATGTTTATTGGCAAACATTGATAATTTTCTACCCCTCTTTTCCTCCCTTACAAAATTGTAAATTTATTCTGAGACACATGATCAGGAAAAAACACTGCTTAGAGGATACGGATTGTTGTAAGATTGGGAGAGGCGACTTGTCACACTGGGGTGTTCACAGATATATTTTTCACAATATTTTGAGGACTCGTTTTGTTGCGCTACTTGGTACCCCGATGGTGCGCTTAATGGAGAATGGATAGTCACGTTTTTAATTTTAATACCAACATTAAACCGTTCATTATGGACTCAACAATATTGACTTAGATTTATAGCCTTAGCATTAAGATTTTATCAGTGTTTTGTTTACAGCGTGGACGTTGAGTTTACCGTTCATCTTCGAGAAATTTAACATAAAGAGATTTTATCAATTATAAATAGATTTTTTAAATTAATAATTTTTATAGTGCGACTCTGGATTCGAATATTTTGTTGTAATTTCGTCCGAAATTACTTACTACAACTAATATGTTACTGCATTAATAGAAAAAATATAGTTTTTCTGAGATTCGGAGTCCATTCCATAATATTATTTAGGAGCATACAGATTTAGATGAAAAGGCGACTAGTACCGCTGTTCGGTATCTGAACCATTCTCTGATATAAAGTACCATATTATATGTCGACAGTTTTTGTGTAATCAGATTCTTACACTGCAAATTTTCTTGGACGGAAGGGGAGGGTTAGTCATCGCCTAACGCAAAGTCTACAACTAAAGTCCGCGTGAGGCATGGGCGTTTTCACTTCGTGATTGTAGTATGGTTGGCTTCTAATCTGAACCATGAACATCTGTGTCACATCTGAACCATTATCCCTTCAACTACCATTCATCATTGACCCATCGGTATAATTCCCGTCACCATTCATTTAATGAAAGAAATGGCAATTTACTATTAAGGTTGCCTACTAGGAAAAGGGGCCCAAGCTCATCTACCGTCCGGTTCAGGAGATTTATGATCTTCACCCTTTGTGAGATCTGACTGAGTACGTATTAGTGACCTGTTTTGTGGCAAGTTTTCTGACCACTAGCATGCTTTCTTTTCAGAGACATGGGGATAGTGAAATAAAAATCTGTAGAAAAAGTACAGTTTATTGAAGGAAATATGAAACATGAACATAGGTATAAATAAATCCATTTGAATATGTTAACATTGGTTTCTCATATGTGGTCCATTCCAGAAGAATAGATTGTGGTAGTGAACTGTACAGAGTTACAGGAAATGGCACACACTCTCTATGTTCCATACAATAAGTATTATTAAGATAGGTATTAGATATGTATAGAAAACTCTGGTATGTTCCTGAGTGATACGTTACATTTTTCCAGTATGTACAATTATGGGGTAACATGGTCATACAATAAGGTTTGTGGAATTCTCCACCAATTAAACGGAGCACTTTTATTTCGTGGCAGGTCACTAAATAAACCTGTATCACTCGATATTAGACACCTTTCGGCTTTTGTTTGATGTTGTCGGTGCTGCTGACTGTGACACAGCCCTGGAGATGTTAGTAACTGGAAGGCTGGGGCGTGTCGAAGACTAGGAACCAGACCTTCCCTATCATAGAACCTTAACACCACTGAAGGTTCCGAATTTGATTTTCAGGCGTATGAATTAACAATTTTGTTTTGAACTATGTATATAAAATTATATTAACGTCGAAAAACGGGGCGAGAGTCTTCAGTTCACGAAGAACTAGACACCAAAAAACCCTTTGACTTGGACACAATTAACTTTCTGAATTGGAAATAAATTGCAATTCTGCTGCATTTCAAGAACCCAAATGCGTTCAATTATTTTATTATTTTTTTAAAATCAGACCTTTCTCTTATAATTCGGACTACAAACTCGATAACACCACTGCAATAGGTGTCGATACCATGATGTCTCTAAACCTATCTCTTTTACAATGATTTAAATCAAAATTTCACAGTAATGAGTACGTAATAAAAAATCGAGGTTCCATTGATCTATGTAATTACGACCATTTTTGCGTGAGAGAGCGGTGAGTCGATACTCAATTATATCGATGTTGTATCAACTGGAGCTGTGTATTTGTCGAAACGTAAATAACGTCTCAACAACAATTCGCGATTTTGAGTTCTGAAATTGTATCAAATGAGCGGAGACAAATCGGTGCGTATTCATAAAAATAAGAGTTAGAGACGTTTTACTTTTGACCTGTTGTTTCGACAGTAAAAGAATCTCATTTCTGGTTGAGCAAAGCATAAAATGTATGCTCGCGGAGAACGAAATGCAGCGAAGCGCCAACTGAGGAAGAAGTTGACGATCAGAGAGGTAATCGTGTCTGCGCGTCAAAGGCCCCCGCCGTCACTTCCGGGAGGGGGGGGAGTTGGGGGCCGACCCCGTCACTCGCTGCACTCGCTCGGGGTCCCGGTGCCCTTTCGGGGGGCGCCGGGCTCTGTCCATCCGACGGGCGCTAGCTCGCCCTCCCGCACTGGCGCACTGCACTGGCCGCGCGTCGGCGCGACGCGCACGCGGTCGGCGCGGCGCGCGCTTACGCCGGCTCGGGCGCCGGCGCGGGCGCGGGGGCGGAGGCGGAGGCGGGCGTGGGCGGGGCCTTGGCCGCGCTGCCGTTGCCGTTGGCCGCCGGTTGCTGCTCCTCACAAGTCTGCAACAGCACGCCGCGCGCGGTTAGCGCTCCAACGCCCCTAGGGCCGGCACAGTCTCATGCAAATAAGTATGCGATTCACCACACAGAGGGAACCTTACGCTTTACAAACGGTACCACGAAAAAGGCTTCGGTGAGTCCTGTACAAAAGGAGGTGTAAATGGGGCTAGAGATAACGGTAAAAAAGGGGTGTGAATCGGGTCGGGAGTGTGCATAGGGTCAAAGAGGGAAGTGTGAAACGGGACGTAGAGGGAAGTGAATAATTGGTCAATTATTGTAATCATTTATAAAACTCATTATTCTAAGACAAATGTAATAATAAGACATTTATTCTAAGACTAATGTAGAGATTTGGATGTTCAATACGGGTATTTATTACTTGTTTTCGAACTGTTTTTATATTCAAATAACTATGTTACGTACAGAGCAAGCCGCTATTACAACCATTTCTATGATGGCATGTGTAATCCATTGTAGATCCGGCAAATTCCGTTCATCGTATCCTCTATTCTTTGAGGATTAACGCTAAGCCCGCAGAGAAGAAATCACAAACTCTGAGTTCATAAAGACGTGAAATTAATTGTTGAGCTCTGTGATTGCTTGTTTGGAGCAAATGTCAATCGCATACTTATTTTAATTGTACAGTATTTCATCTGATACTGCTTAGCCACTTGATGACGTTTGCATGATATGGGAAAATTTACAGTGATTAAACAGTCTTAAAATGCACAAAAACACAAAACAAACAACGTACATAGGGAAAAGATTGCCAATTCGGTAGAACAGTCACATGTAAGCATTTGGGTATCAGAAACCAGGGATCGGTCTAGAAGTTCCTTGACGTTTCTTTGTTCGCAAAGCAATTTGAATGCAGCCAACCCTTCCGGCAGTGCAGTGGCATGTGGACCGTTCGAATGTTTATTGTAAAAACCGTATATAAAAATGAATATTAACCATATTTCAATCATTTCCTTCGTGTTTTGAGACCTTTCCTTCGGTAAAAGCACCCAATTCACTTCACTGACGGAATAAGTTGCCTACTTTGCTGCAGTTGTGCGGTTCGTGTTTTGGATTTTACCCTCTTTAGACCCCTGTTTGTTGATAACAGAATGCTTGAACCTATTTTTCTGACAACCGTTTATGTATTGGCAACATATTTTTTCGTCCATTTGGGCAGAATATGTCATTTCTGGTATAAGGAACACACCATATTCTTCCCCTTATTCCTCATTATACCAATAATTCAATCTTTACCTGGTGTGAAAGGCATAGATAGACTTATACCGGGGTAATTAGCGGTAATATTAACGTTTATTTATAGTGAGCACTATCTTCAGAACATTATGTAACACGGCATTTCGAAGGCAAATACCTGTACAGTATATAAATGTTACTGATAAATATTACAATCTGGCAGGTAAATAATTTCATTGTTTAGAACACGCGGGAGTGAGTTTTACACCCCAAAATGACACATCCCTTATGTGGTGGTAAGAGATATTTCAAGATAGGCGAAATTATCAATATTAAATCTAATCACAAAATAGACTCTCAGTGCTATGCAATTAAAACGCGTAAATAGATGTTTTAAATATTGCTCTTGGAATTCCGCCATGTACACACCTTTGCTGGAATGCATCTAGAAAACTGCTATTGGCTGTTGGCTAGGGCGAAAAAGTTTATAAAGACCCTACGTAATAGAATAATTTGACCTGGTAATTACTAGAGTTATTTCATTTGCTTTGAATTATTGATGTTTCTGTATCACATCAATATTTACTAGAACTTGTTCCTTCCAACATATAGCATAGTAAGGACTTCATCAGAAAATATACTTTTTTATCTAAATTATTTCTTCTAGTAGAATATTTAAATCACATAAAGTAGTGTTTTTTTAAACCGCGTAACAAATTATTTCTTTGCGGTAGTTTGAAAGTAAATTATTTAAGTGTGACGCACCGTATTTTCTAGTTTTGCGGGACTGGACGTTCAAAGGATACAGAAAAATTCAATAAAATGATATTAAACTAAATCATTAAAAATATCGTGAAAAATAAGTACAGTATTTATATATTATTAGAGCACAATCAGAGTGTTTCTAGGAGGTGTAGATGTTCTGTCCAGTCGAGTTGATGTTTTTTTACAAGCTGAATGAAAATATTTTTATTTGGTGAGTGAGTGTGAGGCAGAGTGAATGATAAAAGCGAATTATTGATAATCGCAGAACCAGAAACCTCAGATGGCTTCACCTGATATTCGTTTTTATGAAAATAAAATTTCTTACGCGTACAACAAATGATTATTTTGCTACGTTGTATATGAGATAATTGTTCAAATATTCTAATATTGTTTTACTAAATCAATGTTGTAAGTTCTTCACTATTAGAATGTTTACAATTGAAGCTGACGTATTGTAGTTTTTAATTTATAGTAATTAGTAATGTTTTCTTCTAAAGGAAAGATGTTATATACTACATTAAGTGCAGGAAAACGTGAATGAATTCACAATAATTAAAGTTTGATAAGTAATAGCTACCGAGTAATAAATGTTTTCTTGGTGTTAGACTGCAGTATATCTTTACCTGAGAGCATAAATTTGAAACCTGGCATATTTTAACTTGCGATCGAAACTACCGCAGTCATCACGTTATATATTCAAATGTATGCAAAGCCAAGACCTTGGAAGGGCGCTGCGTTATTCGAGACTTTTGCCTGTTTGTCGTGCACACTATATTTATATACACAAGTAATCCCAAAACACTAAACATGGATTTCTACTAGCTACTCTACAAAACACACATCAAGTTTTCATGCTGCGCCAAGCAACTACTCTGGCGCTCTCTAACAAGCGAACACAACACCGAAGATACAGGATTGACAATCTACAAAGTGCATGGCAGACACATTCACCCAGCAGCTCTTTCACGTACATCAGAAATAAAGAGCAGCTGCAGTAAAAAACAAGGCACACACAAAAGGTACTCTGGGTGAACCAGGCAAGGCATGGAGCTGGTGCTGAAGTGAAAGGTGGAGAGATTTGGGGCCTGCTACAGGACCGCGCTAGCAGGCACAGGTCTAGCTCAAGAATGCTCTCTCTAGCTTGGCTGGAATCTGTTAGGTAGTACTGTTTGTTTTTAAGGTTTATCCTCATTAATTTTTTATTTATTCATTAAAAATTGAATGTGTAGTTTACGATCAAAAATTGTACGTATTCCTGCTATTATTAAGTGAACGATATGTGAAGACAATATTTTTTTAGAAATAACCAAAAAACATGGACACATGAAACGTTTGATTATACTCTTTAATTAAAGGGTTTCACGTTAAGGCAATTTTGATCATTATCTATGAGACGTAAAAGTAAAAAATATTTACGCAAAAACCAACGACAGAACTTTAGATGTGCATGTTACACATAATTCCTTCAAGTTTTTGTTTTCTGCAAAAAATTAACATTCTAATATTATTTGGACATGTTTTTTCTCAGGGTTGTTATATGGGTTTACAATTATTGTTAATGGAGCACAGTTAAGATACAAATACGTAACAAAAATGTTAAAGGTGACAATGAAGTTTGTTACACCACCGTCTTTTAGGGAAAGGGAGATCGCAATCATGGAACATTCGCGACCATTTTGTTAACAAGACACGACGTAAAAAACATATTAGAAAGCGCGGTGATTCTGAGAATCCAGCCGATCGCCAGGGAGCAGGAAAGGACCTCACCCGCTCACCCGATCCCCCACCCCCACCCCCAGCCGCACGCTTAGACGGAAGTGGAGCGAGTCGTACCCATGGTCTCTTGCTGGATTTCTACCTTATAAGACGGATTGTCGTAGGCGGATTGGCTCTTGCGACCCGCCGAGATGGCCGCCTTGGTCTGGCCGCGCCGCTTCATTAACATGAGCAGCAGGATGAGAGTGGCCATAATGGCGAGCGCCGCCAAGATGGCCACGGCCACCAGAGGGCTGTAGTAGTCGGCCGCCTCCTTTACCGGCGACGCGGCGCTCTCCAGTTTGCCTGCCACACACAAAACAACACGAGTTATACTATACACATTTTTATTCAATGTCAACAACCGTAAAAACTCTATGTAATGATTGTGGGTGTCATGACGGAGTTCATACGTAATACCTAGAACAAAAGGTGTTTGGATTGAAAGACTAGAGACGGAAGACTTAGAAAAAGGCGAAAGACCAACACTAAAATGTTGCTACTAACATTAGGCAAACGGACAGCGTTGATTTCCAGTGGTAAATGAGATTGCTTATCTGATACTCAAAAATGCATGGTAACCTGTTCCCCTTCTTTTTCTATTAACTTTGTACGTACGAAATAAATTTAAATATCCTGAAATCGTACCTTTTTTTCCGAAATCATTCACATTATCAGCAAAGACCACCATTCTTGCTTTTCAAATAGAAAGAGGAATACCTTTAAATAAAAAAAAGTATGTGCTCAAGAAACGAACCGTGTGGGACCGCCAGCTCAATTAAGTAAAAAACTTCGTTCCATATCGTACACTTACGGCCTACAAAAGGTACGAACTTCAAGCCTGCAATACGTGAAAGCAAAAGTTTAAGAGGTCTTTTCTGTTCGAAGTAATGCTTTAGTTCGTGCCTAGATGGTATGACAACAGGTCCTTGTATATCACCAAATACCTGATTCTACAAATTAAGTCATGGAATTTTATTAGTATCTAGCCGATGATCTTCAAACATCATGATGCTGCCTCAAAGATCACGATTTAATGTTGGTGATAATTAAACGTACTGAGATAGGGCAAATTTAAGTCACTCTAAAGAAGCTTAATTATAACTAAACTCAGAATTCGTAGTTTCGTTTACACTTTCATCTTTAATAAGTTTCCATGCTTCCATAGTGTGCAGAATAAATGTATTATTGTTAATATTAACATTTTATACAATTCTAAATATTCGTATTTCGAGAAATTCGATTATCTTATAGAAGTAGTTTCGAATAAATTGACGACGTGTCTTGATTCTGGTTGTTATTATTACAAATAAACAATTCGTTTTTTAGTATATTGTGCACAGTTCAAAACTTTGCAATTCAACAATGAAGATAAAAAATAGTTGGCAACCCGAGTGAAGAATAAAGTAAAGAATATTGTGAATAATTCAAATCTAAATCTGCTAAAAAATTAAATGAATGCGCTTTTGTTGGTTCTCACCTTGGTGGGAGCTACCCACAGACGCCACAGACCCTGGGCGCGTGCTGAAATCTTGTACGTTACTCTTCTTGATTTTTCCGTTCGTCAGGTACACCTCGAGCCATAATCGGTACCTTAAAACAATAATATATTTTTAGAAGGCAATTAAATGTTACTTAGGCCATTAAACGTTTGATTAAAACTTCGCAAAACGATACGCAGCGACTGTGCGGTACCTTGTTCCTGGTGCAAGGTCTTTGATGAGTGTCGACGACGTCGAGTCCCTCTTGGCCACTGTGAAGGTGCTAAAGTCTTCCTTTCCGGAGTCGCTCTGGTAAATGGCACGGTAGATATTGACATACTTGTCTTCGGGATAAGGTACGCCCGTCCAGTTCACTTCCACTGATGTAACCTTGATGTGGTGGACCTCGACATGCACCTCGAATTTGTACAAATCTGTTGGCAAGGAAGGGTTAATAAGAGAGGGGAAGAAAGTAGAAGACATTTTTGTATTTTTCTTTTTATTACTGTAGCGTATCATTTTTCTGATGTTCTATCGTTTCTAGATAACATTCTAAAAAATGCATAGATAATGCAATTTATTATCACTTGTTTTGTAATTACTACACACTGATAAAGCAAGGTGTACACTACAGACTCTTCATTCGTGGAGAGTACCGCGGACTGTTTCGGTTAACGCGAACATGTTTTAAGCGTAAAAGCACGGGTAGAACGCTTACCTTGTGCTTCCTTTGTGGTAATTTGAATGGGGGCGTCAGCCTGGAGCTCGGACGTTTGGCCGGGGAAAGGGATGAAGAAGATGCCCACTTCGTAGGTGGTGGATGGCTGCAAGTTCTCCAGAGTGTAACTGGTCACAGCTCGGTGGATAAGTGGAGTAGCGGAATAAACCTGGCGTAAAATGTAATGAGCAATTTTTATTCGCAATTTGTAACTAACACCAACATATTAAAATGTAAACTTTTAACTTTTATACATGTATACGTAATCATTTTGTAAGCGAGAATTATGCAATGAATTATGAATAAAAGACGAGTCTCTGATAATGCGCAACGTAATGCAACACACATAATAGTGACAGAAGCGAACTGAACTGCGATATGAGTGCCCGCAGATGGCCACTCAAGGGACATATTCTAGCGTTCTTAGAAGTTTTAATAATGTTGAACTTATTAATATTTACAGTCTTTTTTTCCAAACACAGAATTGTGAATGAATTTTTTGTGGCTTTAGATGAAATGTTTGAATGCCAAAAAACAGTCTCTACCTTTGATTAAAAATATATATCTTTAGAAAATCTGATCAGACAACGTCTGAACAGCAAAGGCCTAAATTTCATTTTTCTGAGAAAACAGACCGAGAGAAAAACTATTAAAGATATTGATTGTTTCAGTACAGAAATAGATGAGAAAATAATCAATTCAGTTTACAAAAAAAGTAAAAAACAGGGAAACAGTTTTGGAACAGTTCCAGTGGTTAAGACTTAAATAAAGATCTATAAAATATTGCGAAAGTTAATTAGTTGGACTTTGAAAGTCAATCTCTCTGACACGACAATGGTATGCCGTGACATTTCAAAATCGTTATTAAGTATTTTAGTGATGGTTGGGTTACATGTAGTTCAAATGCAAAGTTTTAGCTTTCAAAACAAACAAGACGTTACTCTAAAAAAACATAAATGAAATACAATATTTTCTTCGTAGTTTCCCTCTTGCGCTTCCCTGCTCTACAATCAAATAATATTAACACAATTCGATCGCGCAGACCACCAGACCAATTGCTCAGACAAGCTGTGAACAAGGATAAGGTACCTTTTGAGGGCAGTACAATACCGCACTGTACGCTCACTCGAAATAATTGCGAATTTTCGGTATTCCTCTTTTATATTTCCCGGAGTCTTCCCGTAGATGTTCACCCCGACTGAGTCTCTTTACTCCAGGTTCAACCATTGGATTCATACCAGTCTTCCCATCCCCTATATGTCACTGCAGGGGACAAACCAGCAAATAGCGTAAGTCTACCGGTGCTTAGTCCGGTTTGGAGGAAGGAAGCCGGGCTCTTCTCGATGGCACATCCTGTAGTTCGTAAATACATACGCCGTGCAAACATGTTACAATCCCTAAATCTGTCATTTAAAGTAACTTCGAGTGCCTTGTGAATAAACTTATTTGGGTTAGTGGCAATAAATCAATATGTTAAATGAGGTTTCATTACATTAAAACAAATTTAAAAGGAGTAAAACACGTTTCAAGAACTGTTACACTTTGCTCGTCAGATGATCTGTAAATACTACAAAAACATTTTCATTCCCTCTTTTTGTTCCCTCTATTTTTCGGTTTTTCCTAGGTAAGTTCATAATATGACTTACTGTTTGTTTCGGCAGCTAAAATATTGCATATAAATCACATACGATCTTCATTATGAAAAAATAATTACTTATACATCGATTTATTTAGAGCTTCATTTGACAAATATACAGCTGTTACGATGACATCCAATCGGGAACTTACAAGCTTTTACAGTAACGTCACTATGATGACGTTCAACCTTCCAATTGGAGGACACAGCTGATTGGAGGTAACTGCTGATTTACCTCAACTAAAGCTAGGTTTAAATCCAAGTATAGAGAACTTCGGACTGCACTAGCCTTATTTAACCATGCACTTGACGTAAATCAGCTGTTCACGGTTTCATCCAATAGAGAGCTTCCCCGACAGGGAAAACGCCGCCATAGTGACGCCACTGTAGTGACAAATAAGCCCCTGATTGGACGAAACCGCAACAGCTGATTTACGTCAAGTGTACGACTAAATAAATCGCACTCTAGTCACTCGGAGCTGCTCCTTGCGGGGGTGCGCTCACCTTGTCGTCGAGCTGCTTGTAGCGCAGCTGCACGCCGTCGATGAGCTGCAGCTCGCTCTCGGAGAAGCGGCGCCACGTGATGACGGCCCACGTGGTGTTCACCTCGCCGGTGGACAGGTCGGGCGACACCGCCACCACGGGCGGCAGCGTGCTCGTCGCCACTGCAACACGCACCGCACACGCTCACCTACACGGCGCTTGGGGGCTCGATAGGGAAATGGACTTTTGGAGATAGGTGTGTTCGGAGTTTTCATTGGTCGTGCAATGCAGGAACCACACGCTTAATAATTATTGATGTAAAAACTACTAAAAGGCTTCATAAGAGTTATATACAATGATATTAATGGTCATTGTATTAAATGTTAAAAAATAACGGCCATAAATCAAATTAGTATTCTTTTTAGTTGTGCCAGTATTGAGGATGATGATCAATATAATTTTATAAGACATAACATTTAGGTCAGAATTGACGTTTTCAAAATACATTGGACATCGTATTAAATGACGTGATCATATTGTTCATAAACAAGTCATAGTAATGTAATATTTTTAAATTATTTTCCACAAGAAAGAATTCAGCTTTCACTGGCTTGTGAGTTTATTTCGTTTTTCTTTAACGATACAACGAAGAGCCTGTATGAAGTGTGAAACATTTGAAAGAACGGGGTTAGTATTTATGATAGTAACTTTGTATGGAAACAAAGTTACATACGTAGACATGTAGTACATAGGCAATCAACTCTTTGTCACCATTATGATCAATTTGGTTTGTGAGTTTCGTTGAAAATATGTTGCCATTCCATTCCTAATAATTTCCATTCATGATAATTTGACCTTAATTGTATTCAAGAGGAATATGTAATGCTACAAATTCTTCAAAGTAATAGTCATGATCATGAAACTAAACTGGTTCACGCCCAAGACGGGGTGCTAAATGCTTTAAATTGCCTATTGAATTGATATTCAAATTTCGACATTGCGGATTCATTAGATATAAAACTCATGATGTTATCGATTCATCAATACTGACACTTTTAGTGCCCACGTATGAAAAATTCAAAATCATAAGAACCAATAATATCGCAGGAGCGCTTCAACGGATAGAGGCCGCCGTCCTCTGAAAGAAGGAAATATCACTGTGAAGAGCAATGCTTGATGGCAGTTCTTGACTCTTTAGACATTCACAACGTTCTGTGAAATTTCCCTTTATTGCCGCGCAATTAAATATTGAAACTACTTCTGGTAATAACAATGCGAATCTAAGCGATCGAGGAAAAGAAAAAATTAGGAAATCCCCTGCCCATTGTTGGCCCCTGCCCCCTCGAGAATTGCCCATTGTTGCAATATTTTTTAAAAACAGATTTGATGCTGAGATGTAAAATGTTTGGCATATATTGAGGTCAAAATGGTAATTTTAATATTTTAACAAATCATGTTCTAAGTGTTATGAGTTTAAGAAACTATCATTGGAAATTCACATGAAAAAACAACCATTTCAAAACACATGCGTGTGAATGTGGCTGGATTTGAGCAGAGATTTCCAACCTACTACATGGCACACGCAGAAGCAAAATAAGACATGTCGAAAATGATTGTTATTTCCCTATAATTCTCCATTCACACACTGAATTTTAAACACCTAGGAGAATGATGACTACGATTCAGCCGATTCATTCATGTGAACACGAAAGTTCAAAAAACGTTTGAAACACACTGTACTAGCCTTCCGTGCGTCATTGAGTCTATCTCGAAATCTTTTTCGGAACCGATAGACAGTGTTAGTGAAGCGGTTCACCGGACGCAAAACAGAGCTTGTTCCGAAAATGTATCTCTTCCGTTACGGTGCTTTCATAGATTAGATGATGCTATGTATTTTATTTTTATGAGATCGCATGGAGTTGCATTTTTACCCTATTTCGCGAAGGTAAGTGAGATGCGATGAGAGTTATGTTTGCCATCGTGGATAGCATGTCAGATGTGAATTTCTTTCCGACCACAACGTTTTAACCAGATAACTGATTTTGGAAATGCAAAAACAAAACACTATATTTTCCTATTGACAGTTATATATCTAAACGTTTCTTAAAATATGGTAAATAATGTCAAGATAAATCTATACTATAAACATTACAACGCAATTATTAATTACGCAGAGTGCAGAGTAATTTTTGTGAGCAATGGCTTGTAACTATGTGGTGACGCTTGCACCCAATTACTGGTAGGAAGATTTAGTAACAGCTAACAACCTGATGGCGCTTATGTAGCAGCTAATTACGAAGCTTACTCTGCTTGAAATGCAAACAGTCACATTCATACCATATTCACACAGCATTCGGGCAGGAATAGGACAGGGCAGGAATTGGGTACTGAAAGTGTCTAAACATTATGACATGCCATAACATTAATTCCAGTACCCATGTCTAACGCGAACGTCCACCCCTGTACCCTGCAGCTGCTATCGTAACACTACGCTTAGCGACCTGGATTACCTGCTTCAGAGTGTAAGGGAAGGGACGAGAAGGGAAGGGAAGAGGAGGGAATGGAAGGGAAGAGAAGGGAGGTGAAGTGCGGTGAGGTGGGATGGGGTGAGGTGGGATGGGGTGAGGTGGGGTGAGATAAGTAGGTGAGGTGGGATGAGGTGGGGTGGGGTCAGGTGTGGTGAGGTGGGATGGGTTCGGGTGGGGTGAGTAGGGTGGTGTTGTGTGTGTGTGGGGTGGGGTGGTGTGAGGCTGAGATGTGATGAGGTTGGTGTGTGGGGGGGTGAGGTGAGGTGAGGTGAGGTGGGGTGGGGTGGGGTGAGGTAAGGTGGGGTGAGATAAGGGGTTGAGGTGGGATGAGGTGAGGTGAGGTGAGGTGGGGTGAGGTTAGGTGAGGCGAAGAGACTCACGCGGTTGGGTGCGCACGACGAGCACGGGGCTGCTGGGCGTGTTCTGCAGGTCGCGCAGCAGCACGGTGATCTTGACTCGGTACTCGGTGTCCGGCCGCAGGTCGCCCAGCGTGAACTCGAGGGTTGGCGTGGCCAGCAGGTCTTGCGGCGGCGCCAGCACCTGCAGCTTCCACGAAGACAGGTCGTCGTTCCTGCGAAGCAACAGAGTGGGTGTAGCTGCTGCATTGGCTGTCAGTCGTTGCTCTCCTCATTATGCAGGCAACAAAGGGATGCGCTTCCAAGGTAGCGCAGTGACAGCCAATCGGCTTCTTTTCAAATTTTCGAGGCAATATGGCGGACGCGTTTGCGATTTTAGGCTAGCCAATGTTTTTTCTGTATACTTTTGTTAAAACAGTTTATTACATCTTTATATCTAATTAATTTTCATTCTTTTATTGAAAAAATTCTTGCGGCCAGTTTACATACTTATATATTTTATAGTATTTTCAACACGTACAACCCATGAATATTAATATACTTTTTCCTACGAATGCGTCTATAAGCTCATAAAATGTATTATCTTATATTGAGTGTAATTTATAATCAGTTCTGTATAATTTGTATTTACTGTTTGAAGTTATTTTCCACACACCACTGAGAAGTTTGCTCATTCAAGGTAGCTGAAGTGAATTTGGCAGTGAGATGTGGGTACAAAAGCGATTGGTTAATAGGGTTTAATATTTGGGTTCTGCTAAAATTGCTGAACACATTTTCCCCTGCTTGGCTCTTTCCAAGCTCAATGCGGTAAGACAAAATTGATTTCTATACTTCAAGAAGAAAGAAAGTCTCAAATGAAGGGATAGGTCTCAGCGTCATGTTGCCCTTCGCTATTTTTGTATAATTTTGGCACGTTATAACCCTGAAGAAGGCCTCGGTCGGCGCCGAAATGGCACACCGAAGAAGGCCGACCGACATGGCGCACCTGCCTTCAACGCGGAGTCATCTGGGCGGCGAAGAACATGTTTGACAAAATAAAACATAATTACGTTAAAATGCCTAGCTCATAGCGTGACGTAGGTCAGAAGTAAGGAAAAATGTAAGACTTCTGAGAGTTATTGCGCACCTAATTAGAACATTGTGAATTTCTCATTAACACTACAGTGACAATTCTTGGTAACGAAACTTAAGATACGGAGCACTTTCTTTCGTATTAAAGAGAGTTTTTGTTATTTGGAGAAAGTGTATGAATGTATGAATGTATCAGTTACACTCCAAATCAATGAAATACGAGTTATGCCTTTGTTTTAGGGATTTTATTTTTATAAAGAGTGAAACAATATTCTAGTGAACTGTCAGGAATATATTTCCTGAGAATGTTAAATGCACGCTTTGGGAAGGGTAGCATAGTAGTAATTTAATGTAATGTTTACGAGATTTTTAATTAATATTTTAGGGACTATCGTGAATTGTATTTTGTTTAGTCTTTCAAAATCTACGTTAGAATACATATTCGCAATATAGCTGTAACGAGCTTTTGCCGAGGCGGCAACTTCCAATTAATTCAAAAGCATCCTATCTGCATCTAATGAGGGCACGCAATCCCCCTTTATGGGCCAGCAGCAATACTCGTCGAAAAGGCTATCATGATAATGAATTTTACGACATGTTTCGTTACGTTACTGGTGTTAAAAATATGATCCAAGACAAAGCTTTCCATATGACAAATTCTGTGTGAATTCGGCATGAAAATCCTAATTATTCAAGGTATAATTTTGAAAATAAGAGACATTAAGGCTCTTACGATCGCTAAAGGGTTGTAGGCAATTCTGTCTCACGGAGTAGATCGTAAGACGATTACACAATTCTAGTGAATATTGATTAGTAGTGGCTATTGCAGCCCATGAATTTCAAATGCCGTCCCCCCCCCCCAACTTCACGAGCGACTGGTTGCGGATGTGTTTGCGCCAATGTGACCGACCCTCATGGCTGTCTCAAGGTCACGTATTATTGCTCAAGAGAACTTACATTATCACCTTCGCCTTAGGAAGTGCTGCACTAGCACGACGCGGTGTCAGGAGGATTTACGGCAAACTTTACAAGTACTAATATTACGCGTTGGATACTTTATTATCAAGTTTCAACACACGAAAGAAGAGGAAGTGTCCTTGGGGCGAAAAGTAATGTATTCTCCGCTTGGGGGCTAGAAATTTTGTGAAATGCGCATGCAAATGGGCTATTCATGTTTTCCTTGCCAGGAAATTAAACGAGGATAACAAGTTGTCCTAAGATGTCTTGAGTTAAATATGCTTTCTTCGAACCTGAGTCAGTAGGTAAAAGAATTAATACAAGGTTTATAACAGAACGGAAGAAAACTTGAAGGAAAACGAAAACGTAGAAGAAAAACAGAGACATGCTGAAACAAAAAAACATTTTGCACCAGAAAGGAATAAAACAGAAATTACCAATGACTGATGAGACTGAAATTTCTGTATATTTCTGGTTTTAAATATGTGAAACGATATACACATTTACTATGATTTTTATACAAGGAAATAAATGTCATAGTCGTAGTAGCAAATTTAATGACAAATTTTATTTATGTGGCAGCGCTAAACACTGATGTCATTTAAATGTCAATCGTATGTTTATCGTATTCGATTCTAATTTGTCATTAGCATAGGACGCTCCGTGATCAAATAATGCAGTTGGTAATAGCGTTGGTACTCATATATCATGATTGGCCATAACAGTGGATATAGAACTTCTGCCGTTATAGTTGCAATTGTTTTGGTCCAGACGAATAACATAGTGTGCAAAAGGGGGTATAAGAAATAACCGGAATGACGTGTGTCGAGATAAAGGAGAAACGCGGAACAGAGTGCAACCAGGACGAAAATGCAGTCTCCGCAAGGGCACATCGAGCAGTGTCCCAGAGACACGGTTTCGTCTACCGCGGGAGGCTTTCTCGTTGTTTTCGTCGCGTGCCTCTGGGGGCTTGGCACACATTTTCACCTGTTGCCAGGAACCGGTTGGGGACGCTGCTGCACCCGGCAGCTCGACTCCGCAGTACGTCCGTCACGACCGACCGACGGCCATTTTAGCCACGATTATTATTATTATTATTATTATTATTATTATTATTATTATTATTATTATTATTATTATTATCCAACTAAGATCCCAAAAGGCAAGGGCCTTTTGCAGCGAATGCTGAATGAAGGGATAGGGTGGTGAGGGGTGAAAGGACTAACATGATGGAAGGAGGTGGCCGGTGGGGTGGAGAGAGATGATCATTTTCGAACCATCCCAGCATTCGTCTTATGACTGAGGGAAACCACGAAAACCCCGAACAAAATGGCCGCTCCGGGAATAGAATCAGGACCTCCCGATTGCGAAGTCAGCGCCCAAAATCCTGAGTCACTTTTCTCGGTTGGACACGATTAGACATCATATATTTTGGATTCAATATTTCACATTTAAGGCGGCGAAAATATCCTTTTAATAGTCGCAAATAAGCTGTCTGATTTATTTAGTAGGCAGTATAAATTGACATGAAAATAACATTATATTGCTTGCATTATTGTTTTCTCAAAAGTGTTTAATAAAAAGCGTGAGAGATGGAAATATTGAAAAGAACGAAATAAAACTATAAATGTTAAAACAGATGGGCCTCTTTTTCTCTCGGAATCATGTTTATAAAAAAATAAGTCTTCCTACTTCAACTTGTGCTTTGTGTATTATTTGAGTATGCAAAACAATATAAAAAACAAATTTTGAAAGTGGATCTGTTTTGAGTAACTTCTACTATTAAAAAAATATTAACTACAAAGCACAAGACGTTTTCAAATCGAAACTAAACCGGTCATCAAATGTCGATGCAAGTCCGATCATCTTTCAAAGCAACAATGTTTATTCAATCTATTAAATACGAAACCGACTATAAATCTGTCGACAGCGGGTGCGAGAGCAGTCGGCGCCATGAATTTGTGGCGTAATTGTGCTCCAAGAGCATCAACTGGCATAGAAGCTGTATGCGTGACGACAAAAATCGAAGGGACGTTTTTGTACGTCGCCAGGTGGATGCCCGATGGCAGCGGATAAGTATGGACGGAGCGCTAATGTGGATCGCAATTTTAATGCTTCCGTACTGGATGGCTTTTTGCCGTGACATTTGCTGATTTTTTTCTCTCGAGTCTCAAGCAATGTTTCGTTGGAAAAGAGAAGAACATGAAATGTAAGTGAAATGTAGTGTAGGTCTGCAATTAGGCGTCATGCTTCAGAAAAAAACCAAATCATTTTCATGTCATCACGAGATGGAAGACGCTCTTCAAATGTGTGATTTTGTGCTGTTTAGTGCAATTAAGGCATTTTACTGTATAGTTTCACAATCAGGAGACCGCGATTTTTAAATAAAGTTCTCGGTGGCGGTCTATTTCTTTATTTCAGAAGAAGCATTCATACTTAAGAAATCGTACTTAAGAACCATAATTTAATTCTAAATGATGTAATTATCTAAGAGCACTATATATCGTAATTGAAACACTTATTTCCAAAATGACTTATTTGCATTTCGTTTGTTTGTTTAATTTTGCGTGTTAACATATTCTTAAGATGATTCTACATCATGGTGTCAAACATTGTGCACGAAAACGACGTTTCTCTTATATTAAACGATGTTCTAAAATCGATGAAACCCATCTTGAACTCTAAGTCTGAATGAGAAAACTTGCTTTTCCTGAAAATGTGTTCTTCTTGGCGATACGTGACTTTGGAGCGAGGCAGCTTCCTTGACCTTCGGCTGCGCAGACGACACAGGCCAATAAAAGCTTGGTGTTTGTGCTCGGTGGAGCTGACGCGCTCGCTCGTACTCACGTCTTGTCGTCGGTGTAGCGCAGCTCGATGCGGCCGTGCAGCCCCACGAAGACCGGCGGCACCGCGAACACCACGCGCACCGACGTCGCGTCCAGCGCCTCCAGCGTCTGCACGCTCACCTCCTCTGCGCACGCCCAACACACGCTACATTACCACACACGCGCGAAATAGCGGAGAGAGAGAGAGAGAGAGAGAGAGAGAGAGAGAGAGAGAGAAAGAGAGGAGAATAGAGAGGAAGAAGAGAATAGATATAGGAAGAAGAGAATAGATGAAAAGGAGGATAGAAAGAGGAGGAGAGAACAGAGAGGATAATAGAACAGAGAGGATTAGAGAACAGAGTGGATAAGTGAACAGAGAGGATAAGAGAACAGAGAGGATAATAGAACAGAGAGGATAATAGAACAGAGTGGATAAGAGAACAGAGAGGATAAGAGAACAGAGAGGATTAGAGAACAGAGTGGATAAGTGAACAGAGTGATTAGAGAACAGAGTGGATAAGAGAACAGAGTGGATAAGAGAACAGAGTGGATAAGAGAACAGAGTGGATAAGAGAACAGATAGGTTAAGAGAACAGAGAGGATAAGAAAAGAGAGAGAGAGAAAGAAAGAACAAAGAGAGGGGAGGATATGTGTGTATGAGTGAGAGAGAGAGAGAGAGAGAGAGAGTGAGAGAGAGAGAGAGAAAGAGTGGGGAAAGGGAGGTAAAGAGGGAGGATAGATTTAATATTTGAATTAGCGTTTTTTGTTTACATTGCATCGAGTAATTCTGAATTAAATAATATGTCTGTAAAAAAATGTGAATATTTTTGTAAAACATGTAGTGCACAATTAATCAGACATTGACAAAGAAGGTTAAGTTTTTACAACAATAGATATTAGTTTGATATAACAACTTTCCCAAAACTGGTTAGTATTATTTTTTCAACCTAATTCCACAGACTTTCGTGTTAGAATACTATTTTACAAACCCTGCGTAAACCAAATCTACGACTACACGTACGCTACCCGAGCGTGCTCTATGCAGCATGCAGGCAGGCGCCTCGCTCACCTGGCTGGCCGGAGACGGGCAGATGCGCGAAGCCTCCAGGGACTGACGTCACGGCGTAGTCTGCAAAACAGATCGATGGGTTAGATCGCGTGGCGTGCGCCGGCGGCCGTGCATGCATTGTCGCCTCCTCCTCCTCCTCCTCCTTCCTCTGCTGCATCTACTACGTCCTCAGCCCAGTCGTCATGCGCATTCCGTCAACAGTCGGTAGGGGCAGGGCGTTTGTGGAGTCTGCGAGAACGCTACGGGAGTCCCAGTCATGCCTTCTTCCACCAGAGGGCGGG